CAAACCAAAATCCTAGTACAAATCTAAACCTCAATAAACCCTAATTTCCTAATTTCAAACTATAGAAATCTGTACAAATCCGACATATCTATGGTTGAAACCGAAATCCTTGTTAAATTGAGACCCTTTCTCACCATCATAAACCCGTTTGAAGCAAAACCCTTTCAAAAATTGAGAAGATCATACCTTCAACTGTTCTCTGATGAAGACGAACACAGAGCGGCGGCGATGGTGCTGAAATGGAGTGTCGCCGTTGCGGAGATGGAGTGTAGACGAAGCGGAACACCGGAATCGGCTTTTCAATCGGATGAATCACGTTCGAGAAGGAGAAAAGGAAGAAGAGGGAACGAATGAGTTTTCGACGGTTTTTTGCCTTTTTTTTGTTTTGATTTTTTGATCCGGGTCGGGTATGTATCCGTTCGGATTGGTTGGGTCGTGTAATATAACTGATTCATTAAGGGTAGTTTCGTCTTTAACCGCGTTTTGAATTTAAAAAAAAAACGAAAATAATCGGATTATTTAGTTGGGGTCTTTTAGAAAAAAGTTTCAAAGGGGGCTCTTTAGATTAAGATCGTGAATTTTATCTACACCAGATCTAAAATATTTGAAGGGTGTGTCTGAATGGAATTTGTCGGTCATGATAATAGCGATTGTTAGAAGGTTGGGAGTCGGTGAGTGTTTGGGAGACTCCACTCAGTCGTTCGTCTTTATCGCGCAGTCTGAGTTATTCTACCGAATCATGGCCGGATCATTCGTCCCTCTCTTCTCATTTTCCATCTTACCTGCGGACGCGGCGGGTTTTCTCTTCTTAGAGTCTCTATTTCCATTTCTGGAAAGGATTGTACTTCACCCATCTCTGAATTATGCCAGTGCGGGGTTAAAGAGGTTTTGTTATAAGCTTGAATTGTAAGATTACAATCCAATGATAAAATCAACATATTTGGAACATAGTGGTTTGTTTGACAACATATTTGGAACATGTAGGTTGGGTTGTTCTTGAAGCTTGTATCCGCTCTAGTTGTTCACCAACGTAATTGATCCGTTGTCTTCTTGAGTAAATGGTTTCAACATAGTGAATATGAGTATAGCAAACATCGGTAAGACTGTGTTGTTTTATTTTGTCCTTTATATAAAAGTGATTGAATTGATTTCTTGGAATAATTATATGTACATGTAATTGAACTGCCTTTGCTTCCTTTGCCACTATCTTCTCCTGCACACGTGTTGTTTGGAAAATAGGTTGTTATTTGTTGAATAATTTTGAATATAACACCATCTACTCATTACATCCACATGTTTATTACGTAAGCTCCATTTCTATTCATTATGAGGGATATATTTGTGATTTTTGGTACCTGAGATTGCCGGTAGATAATTTGAGATTGCTTAAGTTTGCGCCTTGCACAAAGCGGATTTGACCGACAACATCTGGGATATGTAGGTGGTATCTATGTTAGGAGTAGTGTTGAGTAGGTGATATAATGTTGAAGATGAGAAAATGGCAGAGATGTTACTATACCTGGGAGTTCAAGGTTGGTATTAGCCAGAGCCTGGAGGTGGTCGGATTTCTGCAGCATGAATTTATCTTTTGCAATAGAGACTCCAACATCAGTTAGTGGAACAATGGTTGTGTCTGGTAGGAAACGAACGACAAATGGATGGTCGGTGATCCTGTAGAGGTTTGTGCATCGGCCTACCTCAAATAGACCGAGTTGAAAAATAAGACCTTCGCGTAAGACGTCTCTGTATTGGTTCGCCCGTGCAGCTGGGATGAAGCCATGAATGGCAGAGCACTGCAATAGTTGAGGAGAAGAAGTTATGTTTGGAATTACAAATATGGAGTATAAGATGAGTAAAAAGGCTTGGTAAGGGAATATTGGAACCTTCTCATCGAGGAAAAAGAGGACAATCCCCATGAATTCTCCATCTTTCCTGATGGTCCGAGCATCCCAGAAGCGAAGGAGGCGAGAGACAATCTGTTGGGATGAGCGACCTAGACATAAGTTATCAAAAGTGACATAAGAGCCGGTATGGCAACCAAATCAAGAGCATCCATTTCAGAGTAAACGTAAAGAGCAGTTGATTGAAAATTTCAGAGGGGAAGATGAGTGAATGTGGGTTTCTGTTGAAGATGAGTGAAAGTTGTGGAATAGAAGGAGATAGAAGGAGAAGAGTCGAGTGTGGGATTGGTGTGTTTGACCTGGGCTTGCAAGCTATTGGGC